CCCTGTCTAACACTGTAAGGGGTTAAAATTGCACAATGTTCCCAAAAACCCCGTTTTCTGAAAGCCCCGCGGAAGCAAAGTGGACGAGTTGTGTTTTCTAACTTCAGCGTCCGCCATAGTGGCAGCAACACAATAGAGGTAAGCGCCAAGTGGTAGAACATGTTGAAACGCGTAAGGGGGAAGACCGGAGAAGCCCTCCGCTCGTAGATGCCCGTACCACTTTGAGCCTAATTTTCTCACCATAGAGGGGACCAAATCGAGCCGCACTTGTTGCAGTGGACTGCTAAAGGGGCCCTATGGTTAATTATGTGGAGTTCCGAGCGACCTTAATTTAGGTGGGACGCTGCCTTCAAAGTTGCGTAGTTTTGCGCACTCCTGAGAGAAACGAAGATGTTGCGCGCAATTCGGACAAATCAAACCGTCAAATGAGCTGGTTTCTGCCGATTCTGCCCGTTTTCGCAATTATAGGTCAAAATTACATGAAAATTGAAGTATCGGTGTCTGAATTTTTGACGCTACTCGTTTTACTGTGAGTCACTGCATTTTAATGCTCAAATAAAGCATCTTATCGGCATTCCCCAAAAACGACAAATGGCGAATTCCAACTTCTTATCAGCTGAGTACGGACCGCAGCAGTCGAATTGGCTCTTTCGCCCGTTCAAGGGCTCGATGTCTTTGCCGCCCCTCGCATTCTTCTTACTTTATATCCCCTTGCTATATTCACAGGAATACGATGCCCACTTGAGAAATATCATCCCTTACTTGATAAGAAGTGAAGCAGCTTCGGAATCCGAGTTCGCGCCTTCGATACAAAATGAGGAAATCGAAAATGATGGTCGTTTTGCAATAGAGATCGATGCAAACTACTTCGACAATGTGAAGAGCTTGGCCGAAAAATCGGGTTTTGAAATCGAGAAAAAGGTACTCTTTGATCTCAGTATTTGATCATGTTATACAATATACTTTTGAATATAATGTACAATGCGCGCAAAAATGGGTTGCGTTGAGATCAAGCTATTATTCATGAGAGTAATTGGCAATGAGGAATGAGTTGCGCAAGTTTAAAGGCAGTGGCTCGGCAAATTCAACCTAGTCAGATTCTTGCTTACCTGGGTTTATCCAATGCGCTGTTCCCGAAAATCCATTTTGTAGAGCTTGAAAACTGCGAAAACGAGCGTTTTTGAATGCTTTTCGCTAGAAATTGGACGAGTGGAGCAAGGCTGATGACGCTGAATCG